TAACCTTGGAAGCTTTTGCTTATGGTTTTGAATTGGAAGGAGAGCAATTGGATGTGTGTCTGTGTGTGTAGATGAAGTCTGGACACTGAATTTGGTAGGATTGAACCCAGGAAAGTAGCTGTAGGGGTTATTGCCAAGTTTAAAATGAGGAAACTGAGACCAGCATAAGAAGATTAAATGCCAATTTATTTAGCTCCTGGGTGAGATTCCATGGTCCCAGGGGAAGGGGCCAGGGAAGTTGCACCAACTTCCTGGGGCGTGGGGTTTTTATGGCTATGAGGAACGAGCAACAGCTGGGTGCTCTGATTGACTCCAGGGGAGTGGGATTGAGACGGGGCATGCCATGATTTGTTGTTGGGTTGTTGGGCGGGCTTTCCAGTGGGAGAGCCAGCCAGGAGCGCTGCATCAGCTGGAGCCTTCCAGGGGAGCCATGCGGCAGAGCTAAGTGCCAAGTGCAGAGCCTGGTGCCGAGTGCAGAGGTGGGTGTGTCCAACCTCCCGAGGAGGCAACCGGCCTTACAGTAGCCCACCCCATTTTGGGTGGAAGCATAGCCTGATCACCCACGGGTGCCAGATCAGCATGTTGGAAGGTAGCTCTCTGTAACCTTGGAAGCTTTTGCTTATGGTTTTGAATTGGAAGGAGAGCAATTGAATGTGTGTCTGTGTGTATAGATGTGTCCGACCAGACTCATCAGTAGTAAAAGGTATCAGGCCCATTAGGAAGGGCCTCATGTGTCGAGCAATGTGTAAAAATTAGAGGCAGCCACAGAAGGCTTGAGTGAAGAAGCCTCTGGGCGATTGTAAAAGGATTGACGTGAATGCAAATCGGAGAGTGCTCCATGCTGCGTCTTGCTAGGCAGGAACGGGAACTGCTGTGAGTGAACTAGCACTCTCCTGGCTGTAGGAATTGTTTCTTTGAAGTGTTAATATGGGTCACTCCCATAGCAAGCCCACCCCTTTAGAAACCATGCTGAAAAATTTCAAAAAGGGATTTAGTGGAAATTATAAAGTAACTATGACACTGGAGAAATTAAGGGCTTTATGTAGGGAAGATTGGCCAGCATTTGGGGTTGGTTGGCCCCCAGAGGGGACCCTAGACAGGTCCCTTGTCCCCAAAGTAAGGCATGAGGTTATATATGGTGAGCTAGAACACCTTGATCAATTTCCATACATAGACTCGTGGTTGTAGTTAGTGTTAAACACTCCGAAGTGGCTAAGAGAGCAGGTAGCAACTGTTTTAGTGGCCAAGGGACAGACTGCTAGAAACCACCATCCCCTTCGCCACCGAGAAATGTGGAACCTCAAGGTCCAGGCAGACTCAGTGGCAGAGACAACTCCCAAGGTTTTGGTCAACCCAGCGGCAGAATAGTTTTTGTCAATAATGCCTCCTCCTCCTCAAGGACTCCCTGTCCCTGGGCTGGAGGCCTTGGCATCCCCACCAGAGCTGCACACCCCTAAACTCCCCAAAGTAGACAAAAGAGAATGTGGAAAACCTCCGCCCATTGCTGCCCACTTCCCAGAGGGAACTGCCTCTCTGGCAGCTTGTCTGCGAGCCAAGGCTGGGGTGCAGATGCCTTTGAGAGAGCAGAGGTACACGGGAGTGGATGAGGATGGCCATATGGTAGAAAAGCATGTTTTCACTTACCTGCCATTCACCTCAGCTGATCTTATCAATTGGAAGAATAACAGCCCGTCTTATACCGAGAAACCCCAAGCTCTCATTGATTTGCTGCAAACTATTATTCAGAATCATAATCCCATCTGGGCCCATTGCCATCAGCTGCTTATGTATCTTTTTAACACAGATGAAAGGCAGAGAATACTTCAAGCTGCTTCTAATTGGCTGGGGGAGCATGTTCCTGCAGATTACCAGAACCCCCAAGAGTATGTCAGGGTCCAGCTACCGGGAACTGACCCCCAATGGGATCCAAACACCCTGGAGGGCATGCAAAAGCTAATCAGGTACAGAGAAGCCTTGCTGGAAGGATTTAAAAAAAGGGGCCCAGAGAGTTACAAACATTAACAAAGTCTCTGAGGTTCTTCAAGGAAAAGAGGAAAGCCCTACCCAATTCTATGAAAGACTGTGTGAAGCTTACCGCATGTACACATCTTTTGATCCTGAAAGCCCGGAAAATCAGCATATGATAAATATGGCATTAGTCAGTCAGTGTGCAGAAGACATTCAGTGAAAATTGCAGAAACAGGCAGGATTTGCATGCATGAATACCTCACAGTTATTGGAAATACCTAACCAGGTGTTTGTAAACTGAGAAACAGTGAGCCAGAGGGAAAGTTGTAAAGAAAGGGAGCACCAGGCTTGGGGGAATGCCGACTTGATAGCTGCCGCTATTAAAGGAGCACCCCCAAGAGGGTGGGAAAAAAGGGGTTCCTGGAAGGCCTCCCAGTCTGTGAGCCCATGCCTGCAATGTGACCAGTGTGCTTTTTGTCGGGAATTAGGACACTGGAAGGAAAAATGTCCATGGTTAATGGGAAAACAGGGAGACCCTGAGCACGAGGCTTCGGACAAAAGTGAAGGGCCTCTGTTCAATCTAATGAAAGGACCACTGGACTGAAGGGGACCAGGTTCTATTGCCCCCAAGGAGCCCATGGTCAGGATGACAGTAGGGGGCAAGGCCATTAACTTCCTCATTGATACAGGCACTGAATATTTGGTGGTAACCACTCCTGTGGCCCCCCTATTGAAGAAGACAACCGATATTGTTGGAGCTACTGGAGTGTCAGAAAAACAATCTTTCTTGAGGGCTTGTTTGGAGGTTCTAGCAGGGGAGCGCAGCTACTCGTATACCCTTGACTGAAGACCGGTCCTCCTCTATCGGGGATGGTCGTCCTCTTCGACCGAGCGTGCAGCTTCGGGAGGGACGCACATGGAGCAGTGAGGGAGGAAGGGGACACCTGCCTAGCCAGCCAGATCAGCCGAATCAACCCTGGCGATCAATGGGGTGACAGATGTCGCAGCCAGATCGCCCTCAAAACTACATTGAGATACCATCTCACGCCAGTTGGAATGGCGATCATTAAAAAATCTGGAGACAACAGATGCTGGAGAGGATGTGGAGAAATAGGAACACTTTTACACTGTTGGTGGGAGTGTAAATTAGTTCAACCATTGTGGAAGACAGTGTGGCGATTCCTCAAGGACATAGAAATAGAAATTCCATTTGACCCAGCAATCCCATTACTGGGTATATATCCAAAGGATTACAAATCGTTCTACTATAAGGACACGTGCACATGAATGTTCATTGCAGCACTGTTTACAATAGCAAAGACCTGGAACCAACCCAAATGCCCATCGACGATAGACTGGATAGGGAAAATGTGGCACATACACACCATGGAATATTATGCAGCCATCAAAAACGATGAGTTTGTGTCCTTTGTAGGGACATGGATGAACCTGGAAACCATCATTCTCAGCAAACTGACAGAAGAGCAGAAGATCAAACACCGCATGTTCTCACTCATAGGCAGGTGTTGAACAATGAGAACACATGGACACAGGGAGGGGAGCACTACACACTGGGGTCAGTTGGGGGGAAATAGGGGAGGGATGGTGGGGAGTGGGAAGCTGGGGGGAGATAGCAAGGGGAGAAATGCCAGATGGAGGTGATGGGGAGGAAGGCAGCAAATCACACTGCCACGTGTGTTCCTATGCAACAATTTTGCATGTTCTTCACATGTACCCCAAAACCTAAAATGCAATAAAATAAATAAATGGGAAAAAAAAACAAAAAACAATCTTTCTGTTTGCCTCGGACTTCTGAGCTGGGGGGGCACGAGGTGATTCACCAGTTCTTATACATGCCTGATTGCCCTTTGCCCCTGCTAGGAAGGGAGCTGCTCAGTAAACTACGGGTGACCCTAACCTTCACAAAGAATGGTAACTTACAGTTGGCATTGCCTAAAACTGGGGTCATAATGGTCCTCAGGATGCCTCATGAGGAAGAGTGGAGACTCTTCTTAACCAAACCAGACCAGGAAATAGAGCCTGAGTTAGCAAGATGATGGCCTAAGGTCTGGGCAGAGGACAATCCACCTGGACTGGCAATTAACCAGGCCCCTGTGCTCATTGAAGTCAAGCCTGGGGCACAACCAGTTAGACAAAAGCAATATCCAGTTCCCCAAGAGGTGCTAGGAAGCATTCAGGTCCATCTAAAATGCTTAAAGGACTATGGACTTATAGTTCCTTGCCAGTCTCCATGGAACACCCCCCTCTTGACTGTCCTTAAACCAGGGACCAAAGACTATAGGCCAGTACGAGACTTTCGCTTGGTCAATCAGGCCACAGTGACTTTGCACCCAACTGTGCCTAATCCATATACACTGCTGGGATTATTGCCAGCAGAGGATGGTTGGTTCACCTGCCTGGACTTAAAGGGTGCTTTCTTTAGCATCAGGCTGGATTTTGAAAGTCAGAAGCTATTTGCCTTTCAATGGGAGAATCCAGAAACAGGTGGGACAACCCAGTACACCTGGACCCGGCTCCCCCAAGAGTTCAAGAACTCTCCTACCATTTTTGGAAAGGCACTGGCCCGTGACCTGAAAGGTTTCTGGATAAAGACTTAGGCTGTGTCCTGCTTCAATATGCTGATGATCTTTTTTTGGGACACCCCACAGCGGTCGGGTGCGCAAAAGGAACTGATGTCTTACTTTGGCACCTGGAGGACTGTGGGTATAAAGTGTCTAAAAAGAAAGCCCAGATTTGCCAACAGCAAGTGAAGTATCTGGGGTTTAACATCCGGAAGGGGGAACGCAGGCTAGGAACAGAAAGGAAGCAAGTAATTTGCGACCTGCCAGAACCCAAGACTAGAAGGCAGGTGTGGGAATTCCTGGGAGCCGTGGGCTTCTGTAGATTGTGGATTCCAAGCTTTGCAGTACTAGCCAAACCACTCTATGATGTGACAAACGGGGGAGACAAGGAGCCCTTTGAATGGGGATCCCAGAAGCGTCAGGCCTATTAGGAACTGAAAACAAAACTAATGTCAGCTCCAGCTTTGGGCCTGCCTGATTTAACAAAGTCCTTCACATTATATGTGTCAGAAAGAGAAAAAGTGGCAGTTGGGGTCCTAGTCCAAACAGTAGGACCTTGGCCCAGTCCAGTAGCTTACTTCTCCAAACAGCTGGATGGAGTTTCCAAAGGATAGCTCCCATGCTTAAGGGCCCTGGCAGCAACTGCTCTGCTAGCACAAGAAGCAGATAAGCTGACTCTGGGACAGAACTTAAATATCAAGGCACCCCATGCAGTAGTGACTCTAATGAATACCAGAGGGCATCACTGGTTATCAAATGTTAGGCTGACTAAATACCAGGGCCTGCTATGTGAAAATCCCCGCATCACCATTGAAGTCTGCAACACCTTAAACCCCGCCACTTTGCTCCCAATGTCAGAGGGTCAGGTGGAACACAACTGTGTTGAAGTCCTGGACACAGTCTATTCCAGCAGGCCTGATCTTCGGGATCAGTGATGGACAGTAGTAGACTGGGAGTTGTATGTGGATGGGAGCAGTTTTGTCAATCCACGAGGGGAAAGATGTGCAGGCTATGCCGTGGTAACTCTGGACACTGTAATCCAGGCCAAATCCCTGCCTCAGGGCACCTCAGCTCAGAAGGCCGAACTCATTGCTTTAACTCAAGCCCTAGAGCTGAGTAAAGATAAGGTTGTAAACATTTACACTGACTCTCGATATGCCTTCCTGACTCTCCAAGTACATGGAGCACTGTACAAAGACAGAGGCCTGTTAACTTCAGGGGGGAAAGAAATAAAGTATCAACATGAGATTTTGCAATTGCTAGAAGCAGTCTGGATGCCCCGGAAGGTAGCGGTCATGCATTGCTGAGGACATCAGCAGGACCAGACCTCTGTGGCCCTGGGAAATTCCCAAGCTGATTCAGCAGCTCACAAGGCAGCATCTGCCTCCTACTGAACAGCAGTTACAGCCCCGCTGATTCCCCAGATCCCTGATCTAATACCTACTTACTCTAAGGAGGAAAGAGACTTTCTCCAGACAGAAGGGGGACAACTGATTAAAGAAGGATGGATCCAACTGCGGATGGAAGAATAGCAGTACCACAGCTGCTGGGGGCCGCAGTTGTACAAGCCGTACATGAAGCCACTCATTTAGGTCAAGAGTCGCTTGAAAAGATGCTGGGCCGGTACTTTTACATCTCACACTTACCAGCCTTGACCAAAACCATGGCACAGCGATGCATTACATGTCGGCAACACAATGCGAGGCAGGGTCCAACTATTCCCCCTGGAATTCAATCTTATGGAGCAGCTCCATTTGAAGACCTCCAGGTAGACTTTACTGAAATGCCCAAGTGTGGGGGACATAAGTATTTGTTGGTCCTGGTGTGCACATACTCTAGGTGGGTAGAGGCCTTCCTGACTAGGACTGAAAAAGCCCATGAAGTAACCCGTGTATTGTTTCGAGATCTCATCCCTAGGTTTGGACTGCCACTGCACATCGGATCAGACAACGGACCAGCATTTGTGGTGGATTTAGTCCAGAAAACAGCAACGGCCTTGGATATCAACCTGGAAACTGCATGCTGCCTGCCGACCTCAGAGTTCCGGAAAAGTAGAAAGAATGAACTGAACCATCAAAAACAGCTTAGGGAAAGTGTGTCAGGAAACAAGATTAAAGTGGGTGCAGGCACTTCCCTTGGTGTTATTCAAAATTAGATGCGCCCCCTCTAGGAAGACAGGATATTCCCCTTATGAAATCTTATATCATCCTCCCATACTCCGGACACTACCAGGAACTCCCTGGGAGTGGGGGGAGATTGAGTTAGGACGCCAGTTACGAGCTCTAGGGAAAATAGCCCAGGATATTTCAATCTGGGTAAATGACAGATGTCCTGTAAGCTTATTTTACCCAGTTCACTCTTTCTCACCAGGTGATCGCGTGTGGATAAAGGATTGGAGTGCAGCCCCTCTGAAACCACAGTGGAAAGGACCCCAGACCGTGATCCTGACCACCCCCATGGCTGTGAAAGTAGAGGGAATCCCAGCCTGGATCCACCACCGCCGTGTGAAACCAGCAGCTCTCGAGACTTGGAGAGCCATACTAAACACGGACAACAACTTCAGAATCACCTTAAAGAGGACAACAAGCTCTGCTCCAGCCACATCCCGGAAGCTGGCTGGTCCATGCACAGCCAAAGCATGAGGAAATTCATCGTGGGTCTTGCTGTTCTTAATATTTGGACTTGTACAGTAGGGACATTAACTGATTTTGAAGAATGCTCTCAATGTGTCCATCAGGTTAAAAAGGTAGGGCGAAATGTCACTGCCATTCTTTTGTTTTACAGTTATTATGAGTGCACAGGGACACAAAAGGGAACGTGTTTATACAATGGTACTCAGTATAAGGTATGTAGACTGAGGGATGGACAGCCTGATGTATGTTACAACCCACCAGAGCCCCCTACACATACGACTTTTGAAATTGGACTCCTGGCAGGGTGATGGAATAGCCCTACTAAATTAATAGCCAGGACAGAAGAGAGAGGAAGCCCAAAACAGGTCACTCTAAGGTTTGATGCCTGTGCAGACATCAATGCCTAACCTTCTGGTGCCGGGGGCTGTGGTTCCCTTGGGTGGGAACAAAGTTAGCAACAAAGCATAAATATCTCTGCCAGAAAATCTACTGGTGCTATGACTGCACCTATTGGTCCTGTGTCACCTGGGCCACTTGGAAAAATGATGAAAATGATCCTGTTCGCCTTGTGAAAGGGAGAGACACCACTTCAGGACGTAATGTCCCCTGTATCTCAGGACATTGTAACCCAGTAGAATTAATAATCACGAACTCCCAAGACCCCAAATGGGAAAAAGTGGAGAGTGTAGTGCTAGGAATTTATGGAAAAGGATGTGACCCTGAAGTTAGTATCCAAATTTGGGGAAAAGTCCAGAAACTCTCAGCCCAGCCAGTGTACCAACACTTTTATGATATATGAGATGAACCGATACCAGAGCTTCCAAAAAGGATGAAGAACTTGTTCCTCCAACTGGCTGAAAATGTGGCCCATTCCCTCAATGCCACTTCTTGCTATGTATGTGGAGGAACGACCATGGGTGACAGGTGGCCATGGGAAGCCTGTGAGTTATTACCTTCTAACCCTGTCCCGGATCTGATCTCAGTTCAAAGGGTTCAAACCAACAGTTTCTGGGTTTTAAAGGTCTCAATTATTGGACAATACTGTTTGGCCAGAGAGGGAGCAGTCTTCACTATTCCAGTAGGGAAGCTTAGCTGCTTAGGGCAGCAATTGTATAATGGAACCATGGGCACAGTAACCTGGTGGAGCTCAAATTATACCGAAAAGAACCCCCTCCTAAAATTTCCAAAATTACAGGATGCTTGGGATCATCCTGAGTACCAGAGAGATTGGACAGCCCCACCTGGGTTATACTGGATATGTGGACGTAGGGCATACATACAACTGCCTAATAGGTGGACAAGTAGCTGTGTCATAGGCATCATTAATCCCTCTTTCTTCCTATTATCTGTTAAGACTGGTGAGCTATTAAGGTATCCAGTTTACTCCGCTAGGGGGAAAAGACACCTAAAAATAGGGAATTGAACAGATGATGAGTGGCCACCAGAAAGAATTATTGAGTATTATGGGCAGGCCACATGGGCCAAAGATGGCTCATGGGGATACCGGACCCCTATTTACCTGCTCAACCGGATCATCCGGTAGCAGGCTGTTTTGGAAATACTCACTAATGAAACAGGCAAAGCTCTGTCCCTCTTGGCCTGACAAGAAACTCAAATGAGGAATGTAATTTATCAGAACTGGCTGGCCCTAGATTATTTGCTAGCAGCCAAAGGAGGAGTCTGTGGAAAATTCAATCTAACCAACTGCTGTCTGCACATAGATGACCAAAGGCAAGCAGTGGAGGATATTGTGCGAGACATGACCAAACTGGCACACGTACCTGTACAGGTGTGGCACGGATTTAACCCTGAGTCCTTATTTGGAGGTTGGTTCTCATCCTTGGGAGGATTCAAAACCCTCATCATAAGTGTTATAATAATAATAGGTGTTTGTTTGTTGCTCCCTTGTCTACTCCTCCTGTTCCTTCAGATGATTAGGGGCTTCATCACTACTGTAGTTAGCCAAAAAATGACATCACAAGTATATGAAACATTATCAGTTGGTTTCTTCAGAAAATCTGGAAAGTGAGAATGAAAGTGAGACCTCTCACTAATATTATAAAATGGTGAGGGTCTCAAAGGGGGGGGTGAGGAGGGAGACCCAGGCATTTGGGATTCCCTCCCCCACTGTCATTCACTGTGCATCTCAATAGAAGAGAGAGCAGGCCAGCTGGCGCCTCCTGAATCTCCTTCCTGAAAACAACAGGCTAGGCCTTGGGGAAACCCTTCAGAAGGCACTATTATTACTTAAAACAAGATTAAACCAGAAACCTTTCCACATGTGAGTCCTAAAACTGTAAACTGGAACCCTTTCATATGTAATTCCTGAAACTGTAAACTAAAACCTTTTCACATGTGAGTCCTAAAACTATGAACTTAAGATTCTTCCATGTGTAACATCTAAAGTATAAGCCTATATAAAGGCTGAACCTCCCTTTGTTAGGGGAGCTTGGCTGTAAAGCACATATGCCACCAAGCTACCAGCTGAAATAAATTCCTTCCTCCTGTATTCAGTGTCCAAGAGATCCTTTCCTGCAGCCGCTCCTGCTACATTAGGGCTTATTGTTTGGGAAATAAGTGTTCTCTCTCAAAGAATAAAGGCTGTCACCTTTTTTTTGAAAATCTTTGAGTTATCACTTTGGCTAATTAATAACATATTTGACAATGACTTGTGATCCCCTTTAGTGATGTTAAGTGTTTTAAAGTTTTTATATTTGTAAAACTTTCCAAAGTCAAGTTCTAACTTTAGTTCTCATGAGTTTTTTTTAATATTAGTTCATTGAAGTTCCAAAGAAATATATTCAGCTTATTTGATATAAGAAAATCATACAGGAAGCACTGTCAAATATAAAATATTTGACACTATTTTGTCAAACCAAATTAGGCATTTAACCTTCTTTCGATTATATTTATATAAATGTGTTATTAGTATGTATTCCAGAATTGTATATAATTATTGTTAATCTGATATGTTTTAGCATATGGTATCAGTAGTAATTATAATTATTATGTAAAATTACATGCCACAGAAGTAACCAGATATTCTTTTAAATTGTGTCTTTATCTATGACTATTTCAAGACTTTTGTCATCCACAGTTCTTTTATCTTTTTCAAAAGGTGATTTTATAATCAGCATAGGACTCTGATGGGTGCTGTGAAATGCAGGTTTTAGAGATTGTGACACTAAATTGGGGGGGGGGAGAGGGAACTTCCAAGACTCCCATGGAGAGCTGAAATGTTCATGAATGGGAGGTAATAACATAGACTGAACTAACAGAAGACCAAAATAATCCTGTAATTACTTTTAGCTGAAAATGTTGCTCTCCCTTTCTTTCTTTTTCACAACCAAAAAATATTTTGAGCTATTTACAGCATTTAACAATTGAATAAAGTATGCTCCTATAAAAAAATTGGAGCAAATTTCTCTCTACCTGATTTCTCCAAAATTTAGAAACTAGTTGTGAATACACTTAACTTATGGCAATATAGTTATTTGCATAAGTACAATAAGAATCTGTGTTATTTTGTAAAAGGACACAATTGGAGACATTGGTCATTTAAGGTTTTGACTGAAATAGCATGCTATCAGATACAGACTTCTTTAAGGAATCAAAGATGTCTTACAGAGCCAATAAAAGCCCCTTGGAAAAGCTGACTCCAAACCTTGTCTACAAAGTCATTGTATAGGTTTCTGATCTCTGGTAAGTAAAGAATGTCACTTTCTGACAGGTCCAGAAGCCTCCAGATTTTCTTGGGACCTTGAGGTGAAGAATTCACCTAATTAATATAGGTATTTCCAGGCACAGGCTGAGCTTAAGGCATTAAAGTTCAGTCTGAGATCCCTTATGGAATAAAATTCCAGCAAAGCCAATTTAAGCAAAAAGGAGGAGCCTATATGGCAAATAATTATTCTGGCTGACTTTATGCAAATACTCCAGCCAAGTATAGTAAAACTAAAACGTATTTTGCAAATGAATTTGTCCTATGATTGTCTTTAGCAAAAACACGAGTGTAGAGAGAGAAATCATGTTTCAAAATAAACTATAGTACACCTGTTGTTAGATTCTAGTCTTGCCTAACCTCGTGTTTTTTTCTATTTTTATTATTTTCTACAGTTTGGACTGAATTCTAAAATTTGCCCTGGCTACAAGTTTCCAAAATAATGTTTTCAATTATTTTCCTTCTTTTCTTTCCTTTTGTCCCTATTTTTTTCTGATTTGAAGTCACTAAAAATTAAGCTCTGCTCTCTTAAAGCCATGAGAACCGAAGCTAAACAACTTAAACTTCCAAAGAAAAGAATAGCAATCTAGTTACACACATAAGCCCCTTTCATATCTGCCTACTGATGTGTAGATTTCAGAATAATATGGCCTATATCAATCTTCCAATATTAATATCTTTTTGTTTGTTATTTTACTCTTCTTCTTCCTCTATTTTCTCTTTGTAGGATGTGGGATTTTAAACCTGCTAAAAATGAGCTTCCCTAATAATGTGGGACCTACTTATCTAAGAATAAATCATCCTCTCCATGACAGATCAGGCAGAACCTAAGACCAGAAACTCATTTTCTTCTAAAAGGCTATCTCCGAAAGGCTTTAAGAAAGGAAAGCAGTGTGGGGAATGTAAAAAGAAAATAAATCTTGAGACCCCAAAATCACTAAGCCAAAGAAAAAGGTCAAGCTAAGAACTGCTTAGGGAAAACCTTCCTTCCATTCTATTCATGGAGCTACTAAGATTAAAAAAGCTACATACAGGCCTCACAAGAAATTTCCTTGTGGACAAAGGAAACTCAAAGTGATCCCTCTGCTCACTGAGATAAATACATATTGATTGTCTCCTTTGGAAAGGCTAATCAGAAACTCAAAATAATGCAACACTTGGCTTCTATCTGCCTATGAACTGGAAGCCCTCTCCCTATTTTGAGTTGTCCTGCCTTTCATGACTGAACCACTGTGCATCTTATGTATATTGATTGCTGTCTCATGTATCTCTAAAATGTATAAACCAAGCTGTGCCCCGACCAGCTTGGGCACATGTTGTCAGGGCCTCCTGAGGCTTTGTTACAGGCACATGTCCTTAACTTTGGGAAAATAAATTTTCTATATTGACTGAGATCTTTCTCAGATATTTGGAACTCACTCTACACACACATACACAAACACACTCATAAACATGCATACACAAATACACATATATGTATATTTGTGTTATAAACCTATTAGTCCTTTTTCTGTAATATAGATTTTAAGGAAACTCCAGGGCTTCATTTGTCTTTTTTCTTTGCTTTTAGTTCTTTGTGTGTGTGTGTGTTTTAAAACACTTGGGAATAGGAAGAGCAAGATGACTAAAATAAACTCCCCAGTGATAATCCTACCATAGGAACACCAAGTTGAAAAACTATCCATGCAAAACAAAACCTGCATAAGAACCAAAAATCAAGTAAGCAATCACAGTACCTGGTTATAACAAGCAAGAAAACTATCAAGAAAAGAAGCACTGAAGGGTGCAGCCAAGGCAGTCTTGCATTACTTGCACCATCCCTCCTTCATCTCCCAGCAGTACTAAAAGAGATAATACATGTGCTTGTGGGAGGGGGAGTCAAGGGCTTTGGAAATTTGTATTGGAATTCAGTGCTACCTTGTCCCAGTGGAACACAACACAGGGCAAAATTTAGCCAGTGCCCATAGAGGAAGCATTTAGAGTAGCCCCAGTGAAAAAGTAAGCTTTTACTCCAACAGTGGGAACCTGAGTTCTGCCTAGCTCCATCAATGGGTGATTAATGTGGCCTGGGGTCCTGAATAAATTTGAAAGACAGTCAGGCCACAAGGCTTGCAGTCCTCAGGTAAGTCCTGGTACTTTGCTGAGCTTGGAGACAGCGGTACTGAAATACCCATAACTCAGTGAGACAAATGCTGGTGTGGCCAAGGGAATGCTTGCATCACCTCTTCTCCAACTCCAGGCATCCTTCTACTTGCAGAAAGCAAAGGGAAGACTAAAAATTACTATGTCTTGTGATTTGGATACCAGTTCAGCCACAGGAAAAAACAACAACAACAACAAAAAACAGAACATGAAGCAGAGTCCTGAGACCTCCAATTTCAGACCCTGTGATGTCCTGGATGACATTTCCAGACCCACCTTGGGCTAGAAGGGAACCCACTAACCTGAAGTAAAAAAACAAGCTTTGGCAGGATGCAACACATGCTGACTAAAGGAACCTTGTTAGGGCTACATGAGTTGTAGCCAGGCAGTAGTCACCATGGGCCTTGGGCTAGACCCAGTACCATGCTGGCTTCAAGTGTGACCCAGCATAGTCCCAACTGTGGTGGCCCTGGAAGTGTTTGCATCATCCCTCCCCCAACTTCAGTCAGCCCAGCACAGAAAGACAAACACCCGTTTGGGGAAAAGTGAGAAAAGAGAATGAGAGACTTCCTGGTATTCCAGGAAATTCTCCCAGATCTTATTCAAGTCCACCAATGTTATACCTTTACAAGTGTCCAAATGTGGCAACATTACTGGATTTGTGGCAGCCCCTAGTGCAGATATAGCTGCAGTAACCAAAGATATAAATTGCAACACTCAAGTCCATTTAAGAAACAGGAGAGTCTTCTCAAGAAGTATAGATCCAAACAAGCAAGAACTGCAAAGATTAGAATACCTAAACTCCTCAAAGCCCAAACATCATGAACATCAACAAGCATCAAGAACATACAAGAAAACATGACATCACCAAATGAACAAAATAAGACACCACTCACCAATCCTGGAGTGAGAGACATATGTGACATTTCAGACAGAAAACTCAAAATAGCTTTTTTTGAGGAAGCTTAACCAATTTTACAATAAAACAAAGAAGGAATTCAGAATTCTATTAGATAAAATTTACAAATATATTGAAATAATTGAAAAATCAAGTAGATATTTAGGAGTTTAAAAATTCAATTAACAAACTGAAAACTGCATCAGAGTATTTTAATTGCAGAAATTATTAAACCGAATAAAAATAGTGAACTTGGAGATTGGATACTGAAAATACATAGTAAGAGAAAGCAAAAGATAAAAAGGATAAAAAAGAATGAAGCACACCAACAAGATCTGGAAAAAAGCCTCAAAAAATCTAATCATTACTTGTCTTAAAGAGGAGGTAGGCCAAGAGGTTGGAGTAAAAAGTCTATTCAAAGAAATAATAACAGTGAACCTTTGAGACCTAGAGAAAGTTATCAATATTCAAGTATAAGAAGGTAATAGAACACTAAGTGGATTTAACACATTAAGATTACTTCAAAACATTCAATAATCAAACTTCCAAAAGTAAAAGATAAAGAAAGAATCCTAAAAGCAGCAAGAAACAAAGAAACAAAAAGACAAATAACATACAAATGAGTGCCAACAGCCAGTGAAAATACCTTTAAAACAAAAGGGCCGCCAGGTGAGGTGGCTTATGCCTGTAATCCCAGCACTTTGGTAGGCCAAGGTGGGTGGATCACCTGAGGTCAGGAGTTCGAGACCAGCCTGGCCAACATGGTGAAACCCTATCTCTACTAAAAATACAAAAATTAGCCCAGTGTTGTGGCATGCACCTGTAATCCCAGTTACTCAAGAGGCTGAGGCAGGAGAATCTTATGAACGAGGAGGTGGAGGTTGCAGTGAGCTGAGATTGTGCCATCACACTCTTGGGTGACAGAGCAAGACTCTGCCTCAAAAAAAAAAAAAAAAAAAGAAAGAAAGAAAGTAAAAAGGAAAAAAAAAGGAGAAATATTTTCCCAAATGAGAACTAAGAAATTTTATAAACGCCAGACTTGTTCATACAAGAAATGTAAAAGGAAGTTCTTGATTCTAAAAGGAAAGGATGTTAATGAACAGTAAGAAAAATCTAAAGGCAAAAACTCACAGCTAACAGTGAGTAGACAAAGAATATTGTGACAATGTGTTCACTGTGTGTAAACCATTCATATCTTGAGTAGTAAGACTAAAAGACAAATATATTAAAAACACTAGTTAAAATACTTTTAAGATGTAGATACTGCAAAGGACATAAACTCATTCTTTTTATGACTGCATAGTATTCCGTTGTGTACATCGGCCACATTTTCTTTATACAGTCTGCCACTGAGGGGCATTTCATTGGTTCCAAGTCTTTGCTATTGTGAATAGTGCTGCAATAAACATACACGTGCATGTGTCTTTATAGTAGAATGATTTATAATCCTTTGGGTATATACCCAGTTATGGGATTGCTAGGTCAAATGATATTCCTGGCTCTAGATCCTTGAGGAATCGCCACACTGTTTTCCACAATCGTTGAACTAATTTACTCTCCCACCAATAGTGTAAAAGTGTTCTTATTTCTCTACATCTTCTCCAGCATCTGTTGTTTCCTGAATTTTTAATGATTGCCATTATAACTGGTATGAGATAGTTATGTCATTGTGGTTCGCATTTGTATTTCTCTAGTGACCAGTGATGATAATTTTTTTTCATATGTTTGTTGACTACATAAGTGTCTTCATTTGAAAAGCGTCTGTTCATATCCTTCACCCACATTTTGATGGGGTTGTTTTTTTTTTCTTGTAAATTTGTTTAAGTTCCTTGTAGATTCTGGATATTAGTCATTTGTCAGATAGATAGATTGGAAAACATTTCTCCCATTCTGTAGGTTGCCTGTTTACTCTGATGATAGCTTCTTTTGCTGAGCAGAAGTTCTTCATTGTCAGCAAACTAACACCGGAACAGAAAACAAAACACTGCATGTTCTTACTTATAAGTGGGAGTCGAACAATGAGAATATATGGAGTTGAACAATGAGAATATGTGAGAATAATATAATCACAATATATAGAGGGGAACATCACACACCGGTGCCTTTCAGGATTGGGGGAAAAAGAAGGGATAACATTAGGAGAAATGCCTTATGCAGATAATGGTTTGATGGGTGCAGCAAACCACCATGGCACATATATACCTATGTAGCAAACCTGCACATTCAGCTCATGTATTCCAGAACTTAAAGTATAATTTTTAAAAAAGATGTAGATATTATAAACAGATATAAATAGAAACAACAAAAAATTAGAAAGTTGTGGGTGATGGAGTTAAAGTGTATAAATTTTATGAGTTATCTATTAGTTGGGTTTTTTGGCAATCAGAATTAAGTTGTCATCAGTTTAATATGATCTCTAATCAAAAGGCATAAAGTATCTGAAAATAGATTTCAAAAAGAGACCCAAGTATGAGCTGCCTACAAGAAACCCAACTCACCTATAAAAAATACACAGACTGAAAATAAAGGGATGGAAAACATATTCTATGCCAATAGAAACCAGAAAAAGTGCAGGAGTACCTATACTCCTATCTAAAAAGAGACAAAGAAGTATATTAAATAGTGACGAGAGTCTTGCTAAATTGTTATATTCAACAAGAGAATATAACAATTTTAAATACATGTGCACCCAACACTGGAGCACTTAGATATGTGAAGCAAATACTATTAAAGCTAAAGAGAGAAATAGACCCCAATAAAATAATAGCTAAAGATTTCATCCTCCAACTTTCAGCCTTGAGTAGATTATCCAGACAGAATATCAGCAAAGACACATTGAATCTAACCTGCACTACAGACCAAATGCAGCTAATAGATAGTTACAGAACATTTCATTCAATAGCTGCAGAGTACATATTTTTTTCTTTAGCATGTGGATTGTCCTAAAATATCGATCATATTTTAGGCAACAAAACAAGTCTTAAGACATTCAAAAGAAAATGAGGGAATTATATCCAGCATCTCCTCTGGCCAAAATTGAATAAAGCTAGAAATCAATAACAAAAGGAACTTTGGAAACTATATAAACACATGGGAATTAATCTATAAGCTCCAGAATGACTGGTTGGTCAATAAAAAAATTTTTTTTTTTAATTAAAATGTTTTGAAACAAATGAAAATAGCAATAAAACATACCAAAATTTATGGAATACAGCAAACCAGCACTAATAAAAGGTTTACAGCAGTAAGTACCTACATTAAAAAGGTAGAAAAATTTCAAATGAAAAATGATGCATCTTAAAGAGCTAGGCAAGCACCTGCTAAGCAAACCCAAAGTTAGTAGAAGAAAAGAAATAATAAATATCAGAGCAGAAGTGAATGAAATTAAAACTAAAATCAATTACAAAAGATTAATGAAAGGAATGTTGGTATTCATAAATGGTAAACAAAGTCAACAAAATTTTAGGCAAATAAGCTAAAAAAGAGAGAAGACTGAAACAAATAAAATCAGAGATTAAAAAGAGACATTACAACTGATACTAGAAAAAAATCAAAGGATAATTAGTGACTACTAGAGCAACTATATGAAAATAAATTAGAAAACCTATGAATAATGGATACATTACTAGACATACACAACTTACCAAAATAGAACAGTAGGAAATCCAAAACCTTAACAACAATAAGATCAAAGCCATGATAAAAGTCTCCTATTGAAGAAAAGCCCAGGACTCAATGACTTCACAGTTGAATTTTACTAAACATTTAAAAAAGAACTAAATATAATCATCCTCAAATTATTCCCAAAAATAGAGGAGAAAATACTTCCAAACTCATCCTACAAAGCCAGTATTACCCTGACACCAAAACTAGAAAAAGACACAACAAAAACTATGTGCCAATATCTCTGATGAACATTGATGTGAAAATCATTAACAAAATACTAACAAATCATATTGAACAACGGATTAACAGATCATTCATCTCAACCAAGTGGGATTTATCCTAGTGATTCAAAGATGGTTTAAGATACACAAATAAATCAATGTGATTCATCATATCAATGAAGAACACAAACTATATGATCATTTCAACTGATGTTGAAAATAATTTGATGAAATTCAACATCTTTTCATTGTAAAAACTCTCAAAAAGTGGGTATAGAAGGAATATACATCAACACAATAAAATCCATATTACAGAGATCTAGAGCTGGTGTGATACTGAATGAAAGAAAGAAAAAGAAAAAAGAAAAAACAGCTAAGAGCCTGTCCTCTAAGGTCTGGAATGAAAAAAGGATGCTCACTTTCACCACTGTTACTTAACATAGTACTGGAAGTCCTAGCTAGAGTGATTAGACAACAGAAAAAACAAAGTGTATGTAACTTGGAACAGAAGTTAAATTATCTTTGATTGCAGATGAAACAGTCTTACATTTAGAAAAACACAAATATTTCACCAAAAAAACCTATAACTTATGAACACACCTAGTAAAGTTGCAGATACAAAGTCAACATACATTTGCATTTCTATAGGCCAACAGCAAAAAATCTGAAAAAAAATCAAGAAAGTAATCGTTACAAATGAAATAAAACACCTAGAAATAAACTTAACTCAAGATTTGGGAGATCTCTACAAAGAAAACTATACGCATTGATGAAAGAAATTGAAAACACACACAAAATCATATGTTCATGGATTTAAAGAATCAATATTGTTTAAATTTCCATGCTATCCAAAGTACTAGAGTTATGAGGCAATTCCTAACAAAATACCAATGACATTTTTTCACAGAAATCTGAAAAAAAAAAAGAATCCTAATATTTATTTATATGGAAACACACACACACACACACACACACAAACACACACACATGCACACACACACGCACAGAAATACAAACCTAAAAATATCCAAAGTCATTCTGAGGAAAAAAATAACAAAACTGGAAGAATCACATTTACCTTATTTGAAATTTTACTACAGAGCTGTGGCAACCAAAAGAACATGGTACTGGCATAAAACAAGACACGTAAACAAATAGAATGGAATAAAGAGGCCAGAAATAAATTTATATATCTTTGGTGAACTTATTTTTGACAAAGTTACCAGGAGTATACATTGGATAAAGAATAGTCTCTTCAATAAATGGTGCTGGAAAAACTAAATGTCATATGCAAAAGAATGAAACTAGGGACACATCTCTTGCCATATACAAAAAATCAAATCAATATGTATTAAAGCCTTGAACCTAGAACATAAAACCATGAAAGTACTAAAAGAAAATATAGAGAAACATCTCTAGGATATTGGTCTGGGCAAATGTTTCTTGAGCAATACCTACAAAGCACAGACAACCAAAGCAAAAAATGGGATCACATTATGGTAAAAACAAACAAACAACAACAACAAAAACTTCTGCACAGAAAAGAAAACAATTAATAAAGTGAAGAAACAACCCACGGGGTGAAAAAAATATTTTCAAACTACCCATCTCAATAGGAATTAATAATCAGAATGTATAAGCAGTTCTAACTACTCTATAAGAAAAGAAACAAACAATCTAATTAAAAATTGGGTAAAATATCTTAGGCATTTCTCAAAAGAAGATACACATTTTCTCATCAACCTCAGGATTGCAGGTTGGAGGATGCCTTAGCATGTCTCTCCCTCTTGAAAAGAAAAAATAATGCGTAGACAGACTGTGGACATATATTTTCTGATAAGCAACACTGTAACTAAGGAGGAAGACTGAACAAAACCACAGACCCTTTGAAAACAGTGATGGACTGCAGCCTACAATGTGAGTCAGGCAGAAAACTGTGAGTCCCCACAGTGTGAGATGGGGAGACCCTGCCTCTGGCCTATACACTCTCACTGGGGAAACCTGGCAATCCCAGGCCATGGAGAAATGCTTTAACCCTACTCAGCACTTGAGTTGATTTAGTAAGCAGTGGAGAGTACATGAGAAAGATCAACATTGGACATGCTTTGTGTGTGTAAGGCCGGCTACCTCACAGAGGGTTAAACAGACACATCCATCTCTCTCCGCACCTGATAACTAAGTAATCGCCCAAGCTCGTTATCTGGCCTTGCCGCAAGGCTTCCCCGCACCCGCCTCCACATACCAGACCCAAGCCCACATTTAGCACTAAACTATGCATTCAACTCCCAGCCCGCTGTTAATAAACCCTGCAGGAAAATTTTTAAAAGAAGCCCCATCAGACCCTGCCCGGTAGCAGTCTGCTCTGTAGGCCCTCGGAAGGCCCACTTACCCAAGGTCCTGCATGCCTACCCATAACCACTAGCTCCAGGCATTTCCTGCTTCTTAATAGCCAATAGGAGTGCCTTCACTTTGTTTCCCCCAACAGCCAATCAAGACCCACTTACCCAAATTCCTGCCCATCTACCAATAGCAATGAGTTTCAGGCACTTCCTGCTTCCTGACAGCCAATAAAATTGCCTTTGCTTTGTTTCCCCAATAGCCAATCAATCGCCTTCCCTTCCCATAAAACCCCATGACCTAAACAGCCAGGTGCAACTTCTCTGGCCCCTCCCTGGACCACAGAACCTCGCCCAGGAGCTGAATAAATTAGCTTCTCATTTTCTTATATGTGCCTCAGTTTCCTCAGTTTACCTTGGCAATAAAGCTTACATTGGTGCTGAAACCTGGGAGGAGTTGTAAGACCCCCTGCTGGGGGGGGGGGAACTGACTCCTCCACCTGAGTCCAGACCAGGAGCTGCTCTGCCACGAGGTAAATCTTCTGTTGCCCATAACTTTTCCTGCTGCCTACTCTGTGGACTCCCTGCTCGTAACCGCAGCCACGTCAGGGACTACTTCCCGTCTCTCACCATGGGCCCAGGGTCCCAGCCTCATTCCGAGGACCTGAGTGTAATGGAGACAACCCTACACTCTTGTCTTCTCCCCATAAGGGGTCACTCAGGGCCAGGAATCTGAGGGAGACGTCCCCACCTTCCTGAACCCTCTCGTAGTCTCTGGTGTTTGGGGGGATGGCCCGGAATGCTGAGCTGCTCTTGTGATCATCTCCACAGCAGCGGGTAAGGTTTGGGTGATCAGAAGCCCTGTTCACAAGCTTGGGCTCTGCCCAGGACTGAAATCAGACCTCTGGCTTTCAATCTCAAACTTGCCCTTTGGCAGGCCAGCTCCTGCCTAGGTGCATTTGGTTTCTCTCTCTCTCTCTCTCTCTCTCTCTCTCTCTCTCTCTCTCTCTATTCCCGAGTAAGTGTGTGGGTGAGTGAGTTTATGTGTAGTCCCTCGGCTTAACAGCTACGGGGCTTGTGTGGGCCTCCACCTGTGGTTCCACGGGGATGTCATAAGGCATAACGGTGATTCACCTCAGGACCAACAGTTCTGAGGTGACCAGGCCTGGGGTTTATATAGGTACACCTCAGCCAAGATGCCCCTGAAACAATCCTTCGGGGATGTGGCCAGGAAGGCATCAGGCTGGTCTCCCACCTGGGGGGCACCCACCCTTTGTCTGTCAATTCTATATGTGGTCTTGTCTCTACTGTAGATTTGCCAGCTTTGTTAGGCTCTTATTAGCCGATATACAGTGGGTAACAAACCACTGGCTTCAGGAAACCTTCATTAAGTTCCTGCCTCTAAAAATAACTGTGTCCTCCTTTTTCCTTCTACTTTTCTTCTACCACTGAAACCCCACTTCCCAGTTCCACTCCTTTCACTTTCTCTAATTCTGCCATGTGGCAAATTGCTCTAGCTCTGTCCCTCTTTATTTTCTTTCTCATTGTTGTCATTGCAGCCTGTAGGTTCTCTCAGCCACCCCCTCCAGGAAAAGAGCTTTTCTGCCTGTGTTTGGTATAATTTCTTTCCGTGTCCACTTCGCCCTTAGGCCACTGAAAAAGATAAAATATGGGTAATCAGGAATCCCGCTCAGACCCCAAGTCACCACTAGGATGCCTAGTCCAAAATCTACCCAAACTGGGTCTTTCTATAAAAAAGAAAATGTTACTCTTCCTCTCCTCTGTAGCCTGGCCCACAGTATCCTCTAGACAACCAGTCCAGGTGGCCTCCTAGGGACATCCTCGACTTTAACGTTTTAACAGGTTTAGACAACTTTTGCCAGAAGAACAGCAAGTTCGTGGAGGTTCCCTATATTCAAGCTTTCTGGCATCTCTGTTCCCACCCTGGCCTCTGCTCATCCTGCAGTACTGCCCAAGTACTCCTGGCCAAAAATGTCCCTGCACTGCCCTTGGCCCCTTCGCCAACCTCCTCTTCTTCTTTTCTGATCCCAATCTGCCTAAGGGACTCTCCCTACCCCTCACTCAACCCTCTAATCCCCCGCCATACACGGACCCCCAACCCCCTCCTGCTCCTCCTCCTCCAAGTTCTGACATGGCCTCTCCTATTAGTGCTCACACTCGCTCATGCAGCACTCCCAGCGATGAAAACTCCCTCCTTTGTCCTCTCTGCGAGGTGGCCGGAGCAGAGGGTGTGGTCTGAGTGCACGTTCCTTTCTCCCTTACTGATCTGTCCACCATCGAAAAACGCTTAGGGTCATTCTCCGCCAATCCTACTGCTTACATCAAGGAATTTCGTTATCTCACTCAGGCATATGACCTTACCTGGCATGACACTTATGTAATCCTGTCCTCTACCCTCACTTCTGATGAGCGTAACTGCATCCTTGTGGCAGCCAGGGCACACACTGATCAGGTACATCTCACTGATCCTCAGATGCCAGTGGGTGCAGTGGCAGTCCCTGAGACTGATCCTAACTGGGACTATCAAACTGGCCAAAATGGCCGCCACCGCTGAGACCAGATGCTGCAGTGCCTCCTAGCGGGCATGAAAAATGCAACCCAAAAGGTAGTTAGTTATGATAAACTGCAGGAAATAACCCAGGGTCCTACTGAAAATCCAGCTGCTTTCATAGACCCACTAACTAATGCTATGGTCCTTCATACTCAAGTAGATCCAGGCTCTTTGGCTGGGGCTACCCTCCTAGCAGCCCATTTTATTTCCCAGTCAGCACCAGATATTAGGAAAAAACTAAAGAAGGCAGAGGAGGGCCCCCAAACTCCCATACGAGACCTGGTAAACCTGGCATTTAAAGTTTTTAATGGCCGAGAGGAAAAGGCTGAGGCCACCCGCCAGGCCCACTTAGAGCAACAGGTAAGCCTCCAAACCCAAGCTCTTGTAGCGGCTCTGAGGCCAGCAATGCACCAAGCATCTGGTGCAAAGGGCCTATCAAAGCCCCTCCAAGAGGGTCCCTCAGGACCCTCTGGACCCACCCAGACTGTTTCAAATGCTGCCAGGATGGACACTGGGCCCACCGGGGCCCTTCTCCACATCCAGCCCCTGGACCCTGCCCTACCTGCAAACAGACCGGACACTGGAAGGTAGACTGCCCGTTCCGGACTACAGGCTCACCCTCTGCACCTCCATGTGAGGGGCAAGCCAGTTCAAAGGATGCAGTCCCTTGGTTTGAACTCCTCAGCCCCCTGGACGACTAATGTGGCCCGGACTCGGGGACCCCATCATCCTTGTCAAGCCCAAGGTAACACTACAAGTAGCGGGTAAGTCCATTTACTTCTTGGTAAATACAGGGGCTACCTGTTCTATATTGCCTTCCTACTCAGGACCTAACATACCTTCCCAGGTGTCAGTTATGAGAATTTATGGAAAGCCCTCCTGCCCCAACCAGACTCCTTCCTTAGCCTGTAACCTCGAGGGGCACCCATTCTCTGACTCCTTCACCCCTCTCCCATCCAGGGGTGGTAAAACAAGCTTTTAAAACCCCACATATCATCTTGTAGCCTATTTGTCCAGGTTAACCCCACAGTCAGGGGGTGACAGCCTTGCCTGCAAGCCCTAAAAGCAACAACACAGTTAACCAAAAACCCCAAAAAATTACCTTAGGCCAGTCCATTTCAGTGCTCTCACCTCATCAGCTAACCGACCTTCTCTCACACAAATCTCTCACTCACCTAGGACCCTCTCATCTACAAAAGTTTCATCTACTCTTTATTAAAAATCCTTCAGTCAGCCTGCATCCTACTTCTCCACTCAACCTGGCTACTCTGCTTCCTCTTCTGCTCCACTCTCCCTCCCCAGCCCATTCCTGTCCTAAACTCATAAATACACTTACTAAACCTTGGGAGGGCTTAACTAATCTTCCTCCCAATAATAGTCGGCCTCTCCCTAGCTTCCTCTCTACCAGCTGTAGGAGTAGGGAGTGGTGCTCTAAGTTACAGCGTCACTTCAGCTCCTCAACTAGACAACAAACTCCGGGTAGCCATTAAAGCATCAGCCGCCTCTCTAGTATCCCTCCAACAACAAATCACGTCACTGGCTCAAGTAACTCTCCAAAATCAGTGGGCCCTAAACCTGTTAACAGCAAAAAAAAGGAGGTACCTGTTTATTTCTCCAAAAACAATGTTGTTATTACGTTAATGAAACCGGTCTAGGGGAGGAAAATGTCAACACTCTCTATCATCTTCAAGAATACCTCCAAAAAAGACAAAGCGTACCAGCCTCTTCTCTTAACGGGTGGCAGTCCCCTATACTTACCTGGCTAACCCCTATCATGACTCCCATTATCGTAATTTGTCTTTTGCTAATGCTAGCCCCTTTATTTCTCAGATTTTTACAAGCTCACATGAGGGAAATTTCCAGGGTAACTGTAAATCAAATACTGCTTCACCCCTACGTCTGACTCACAACCGAGGCACCAGCCAACTGAACCCCCTCCCGACTCTGCCCCTGTTCAGCAGGAAGTAGCCAGAAAGAAGTGGCATCCTATATCATACAAAAGGTCGGAATGTAAGGCCGGCTGCCTCACAGAGGGTTAAACGGACACATCCATCTCTCTCCACGCCTGATAACTGCATCATCACCCAAGCTTGTTATCTGGCCTTGCCGCATGGCTTCCCCGCACCCGCCTCCGCATACCAGACCAAAGCCCACATTCAGCACTAAACTATGCATTCAACTCCCAGCCCGCTGTTAATAAACCCTGCAGGAAAATTTTTTAAAGAAGCCCCATCAGACCCTGCCCAGTAGCAGTCTGCTCTGTAGGTCCCCGGAAGGCCTGCTTACCCAAGGTCCTGCCCGCCTACACATAACCACTAGCTCCAGGCATTTCCTGCTTCTTAATAGCCAATAGGAGTGCCTTCACTTTGTTTCCCCAACAGCCAATCAAGACCCACTTACCCAAAGTCCCGCCCACCTACCAATAGCAATGAGTTTCAGGCACTTCCTGCTTCCTCGCAGCCAATAAAATTGCCTTTGCTTTGTTTCCCCAATAGCCAATCAATCGTCTTCCCTTCCCATAAAACCCATGACCTAAACAGCCAGGCGCGACTTCTCTGGCCCCTCCCTGGACCATAGAACCTCGCCCAGGAGCTGAATAAATTAGCTTCTCATTTTCTTATATGTGCCTCAGTTTCCTCATTTTACCTCAGCAATAAACCTTACAGTGTGCAGTCCTAGATTCCAGTGGGGATGGAGGCAAGCCATTTCTGATTTAACTTCACAAGGAACCTCATGAGAGTCAGCCAGCTTACTAAGGCAGGATGCAGATTGAAAGAAGCTACCAACTGAGATTCATAATATAATTCTGAGTGGGGATGGATCCCCTTGGCAAGAAATTAGAAGTGAGTGGAAACTGTGATATAGCCATGGGCACAGAAACTTGATGCCCCTGCCTTACAGACGGTCTTGGAGGAGTCTGGCCTGAAAATCCCATAAAACTGGGAGGTTTCTGTCTTAGCAGGGAAGTTTATGCCTGGGGTCAGTTTTGAGTTCTGAGCTCAGGCTACCTGGAAACCAGCTAGTTACTGCTAGTGTGGGACACTGTGGCTTGCAAGTACATGGGAACTGGGTGGGGCTCATTGCCACTTGCTACTCCCCATTCCCTTTGTGTATTCTTCTGTGCAGCATAGCCAGTTGTGCTTCCATCTGAAACATCACCACAGCATCCAGAGAACTGCCCCCTGATCCCCACTAGGGGCTTGTACCTGCATGTGCAGAGCCAGAGCGAGGACTTGACTGACCACAATAAAATTCATCCATGTAACCAGAAACCACCTGTACCCTTAAAGATACTGATAAACACACACACACACACACACACACACACACACACACACACACACAGAGACACACAAAGAAGGTATATAAATGGCAACCAGATATAATAAAAAATGATCAAAATCATTAATTATCAGAGAAATACAAATAAAAAATACAATGGGTTTCATCTCACCCAGTTTAAATAGCTTTTATCCAAGTGACAAGCAATAACAATGGATGGTGAGGATGGGAAGAAAGGGGAACTCTTGGACACTGTTGGTGGGAATGTAAATTAGTATCAGTTTTATGGAGAACAGTATATACGTTCCTCAGCAAACTAAAAATAGAACTTTCAATCCTCACTGATATTGCTGGATTATATGATACCCCAAACCAAGATCAGCATATCAAAAATATATCTTCCTTCTCAGATATAGAAAAAAATGTTTCTTTCATGTCTGAGAAAATACAAGTTTATACACATGAAATAAGAAGATGCAATAGTGAAAGGAACACTCAGAGAAGAAAAGAATTCTTGATCTATTTTTTTAAATTTTAAAATCTGTTCCGTAGGTAACAAATAAAACAAAGGGATAAGAAATAAAATAAAGGTTATAACATTAGAGTTCCAGAAGAACTGCCACATGAGAAAATAATAAGAAAGAAAAAGAGAATTTTTAAAAAGCTGAATGGAAGATATAATTCAAACATTTTCTCCAAAAGTAAAGGCTACAAATTTTCAGAAAAACAAGCATTACTGAGGACGCAGCAAAAGAATAGAAATGGAACCTCATAAAAACAAATCATTGTAAAGTTTCAGAACACTAGGAAAAAGGAGATTGTATAAACTTCCAAAAAGAGAAAAAGGAAAAATATGAAAACATATGGTCTTATATATTTTTAGCAAGAATCTGAATAATTTCAGATTTCTTAATACAACAGAGGAAGGTAAAAAACAAAGGTCGCTTTCTTGAAGATGTGAAGGCAAATGATTTCCAAATTGGACTTCTATACCCAGCCAAATTAGCAATAAAATATGAAGGTAATATAAAAACAATTGTAGCAAACCAAGTTCATAAATGTTTCTTTCTTCATAAATTAGTGCATTTTGGAAATTAATATTATTCCCAAGATGTCAATCATTATTATTACTGCTACTATCATTTCTAACAACCCAAAATGGAATTTTTACAGTGGGTATTGCTTACATTTACATTTTCCAGGTTACAGAAACAAGTTTTGAATTGAGTCCAACAATATTTTGTATAAAAAATTTGAGACAGTTTAAATTTAAAAAAGAGAAGGTTGTTGTATATTTTAATGTGCGTTTTGAGATCAGCAAAATAAGATTATTTTCTACTGTAAATGATTAAATTCATTCAATTTATGATTTTTTTCAGTACCAATATTTCAATTCAATTAGGGATTAGCGTTTCCACAACTGTGAGAAACAAGGTCACAATTTTTATTTCTTAACTTCCTGAAAATTTTTCTATCAGATTTTCGTACAAGGAGGGTTTGTACTGTCTAAGAATAAGCACTGACATTTTAATATTTAGTATAAGGAGAACAATAAAGAGCTAACTAAATAAATATAAATCTTACAATAGAGAAAAATATCAAAATATAGTTTTACTTTATTTAGTACAGCAAGAAACATTAAATAAATTATGCTATATTTATTAGCTACTAATATCACTAATATATTTATCAGGTTATAAACACTGAACACTTATTCAACCATAATTGCAATACAAATATTTTGAGAAGATGAGAGAGAAAAGAAATTTATGTATCTGTGATTTGGCAGAGTAGGAGAGGCTAGGTGTGAAAAC